TCTAAGAAGAAATCATGAGTAATAACCAACTGCACCACGTAATAATGATATATTTTGAATCACCGTCTAAGCATTATAATGATTTCACGTGCATAATGTTTGTGGGAATTATCCCACATCGAAGCTTTAATACAAAACTGCATCCTATAAATTTTTCTGCCGGACCATCAATAAATGCATCAGTTATTGAGCAAGGTTGAGACCTATGCACTGCACATGAAGATCATGTGCCTAACGTGTGTGGTTGATATCGTCGGCATTAAATACGCCCAACTTTACCCCTGATCGTTGAAATCGCTCGTGTCATTGTAGCGACTCGACGAGTTATCACTACAGACTTTACCCCTGATTGATTACATACTTACTTTACCCCTGATTGACTTGCTGAGTTATCAGAATTATTTTACCCTTGATTGACTTTACCCCTGATCGTTGAAACTCGTCGAGTTATCGTTACTTTACCCGTGATCGTTGAAACTCGCCGAGTTATCGCTACAGACTGAAATCGCTTGTGTCACTGTAGCGACTTGCTGATAATGTGGCCCGTGTCGAGTCCAGTTGGACTCGACGAGTTTTCAAACATTGTTTTCAACTATGTCTTTTTGGTCCTACTCTTTGTTATTTTTTAGCCTTCCACTTGAACTAACTTACACCCCCTAACAGGTACTGTATTGGGTCCACGTCACATGTTCCCAATCATAATATCATTCTCAAATATTTTTACTTTTATTTTTTTTAAAAAAAATCACATATACACCAAATTTAGGACGTCTCATTCTCTCATAGGGTAGCACCTTTGAAAAATATTAAAAAAATTCTTGACAAAATAAAATTACTAAAATAACCTAAAGTTTTAGGGATAATTTTTTTTTTTTAAAAAATATTTTTTATAATTTTTTTAGGTATACCACGTTGAGATGATGGCACAAACAAAATTGTTTGTAAATAAAATAAAATGAAATAATTTGAACCATCAAGCGATGAGTTAGAGGCTCACTTGTGACATTGTGGATTCCTACCATCAATTAAGATTAGGCGGCTAGGAGAGAGTGGCATATATGCCCTATGACCAGTGGTATATAGAAAGCTTTTCTCTCCCTATGACCAGTGGTATATAGAAAGCTTTTCTCAATAATTTGGTCTTTTTTGTGTATTTTGAGAAAGTTTTTTATTTACTCTTTATGATAATATCTACTTTTTATTTTTAAAAAAGATGGTATTGTATCCACAAGCTGTTTAGGCTTACAAAGGTGTGCACCTTTTAATGGTTCATAATGAACGAGCCGATAAAAATGAACTTTGTTTTTTATTTCCTATTTTCAATTTAAAACTAATATGAATATGACACTTGGGTTTTAATTTTATTTTTATAAGTAGAATGTAAAAATAATAATGAATATTTTAAATAAAAATAATGATCAAAATAAATTTAGGGATATTTTAGTCTTTTTATTTAAAATTATTATTTAATTATATAGGTAAAAATTAACCTACAACCCAAAATTTAAATAAAAAATAAAAGGGATTATATACAATGAGACCATTTAGTCAAGGAATTCGATTCACGATAAACCGGGCAAAACGAAACTGAGAATGGAGTCACCATATCCATAATCTGCAGCCAACTAGACCTCAGTTTCCAAGGAGTGCACAGCTCCGTCTTGCACCATCTAATTGCATTCAAAGAGTCCCATTCAATAATGCAGTTACTCCCAAGGATTCTAGAGATAAAAATTTTAAGTCCATGGAGCAAAGCCAATTACTCCGATTGGTTAGCTAAACCTCTACAAAACAGTCACGCAACATACCCCAATACCCGTCAAACCTGGATTACCCAAAGAACTCCGTCAAAATTTAACTTAAAACCCTCACTTTATGATGCCACCCAAATAAACCTGGGTCTCATCTATACTCTACCGATCAAATACATATTTAGTAAATTCAACATAACATATGGTTGTGAAATCCCCCAACCCTCCTTGGTAACCAAGAACCATGATCAAATAAAACTTTACTGAGCAATCTATCAAAAGATAGACTCTCTCCCTCAAATGTCCGTCTATTTCGTTCCTTCCTAAATCTCTCATAACGTTGCCCCTCTCATTATTTGCCAAACCAAAATATCCATGGAAGGTAAATGATTAAAGGCTAACTGTGACACTATACCCATCACAGAATGGGGCAGTGAAGCATGAACCCCAAATAAATCAAATAACCAGTACCAAATTCTAGAGGCAACGTGACAATAGATGAATAGACGATCTCCAGTTTCCTCATCCGCTTTGCACATCAAACAAATGTTAGGTAAAACTTTACCCCTCTTATTAAAGTTTTATTTTGGATAACTGGGGAACATACTATTTCCACACTTTGACCGCAGCAGGTAAAGACTATCTCCATCTATCGTAGAAGAAGAGCGTATAACAAGACTTGACCGATAAGACTCCATCACATTCAACTTTCCAAATCACTTCATCCATAGTCCCCGGGGAAATGTAAACCGAATCCAAGATACCTATCAAATCTTTTTGTTGAAGATAAGTATCTTCACTTAGCCTATTATATGAGAAATTAATAATCCAAGCATCACATAAACCACTCACTTCAACCATATTAGAAACCTTAGCATTAGGTTGAGAAACCTTAACAAAAAGTTCCGGATGAATAAACTTCAGAGGGGCATTACCTATCCACTTATAGTGCCAAAAGGAAATATTATCACCACAGCTAACATTCCAACGAAAGTAACTCGTAATCATCCGTCTGCACCTGTAAATGAGCTTCTACTGTGAAAACATCTCGCTAATAATTCCCCCTCCTAACCACAATCCTTGCCTATCCCGACCATATTTCGAGGATAATACTTGAAACCAAAGCTGATCTATATACTGAAGATTCTCCACCACCATTTACAAAGCAATGCCTCATTCATATATTTGAACTTTCTAATATCAAGACTACCTTTACACTTGGGGATACAAACATGATCCCACCTAAGTAAATTATACTTTCATTCTTCCCCAAAAGTCCCCCACAGAAAATTACACATCATTTTTTCAATTTTCTTTATGATTGAGGCCGACATATGAATAAGATACATCAAATAGACTGGAAAATTCGCTATACAAGAGTTTAACAAAGTAACCCTACCACCCAAAGACATGTATTTCGGCTTCCAAAGATCCAACTTTGCTTGTAGTCTCTCTACAACATTATCTCAAACCGCAATAGAATATCTAGAATCTGAGAGTGGCATTTCCAAGTAAGAAAAGGGAAAGGAGCCCACCAAACATCCTAAAATATTAGCCAAAAATTGAATCAAAGCCGGATGACAGTTAATACCTATCAAATAGGTCTTATGGAAGTTGACATTCAATCCCAATGCCACCTCACACCAATCTAAAAAACATGCAATGTTTTCAGCTTGCACCTCATTTGTTTTACAAAAAATAAGGGTATCATTTGCGTATTGCAAATGAGAGACTTTAGAACCCATCTCAGCCACCATAAAACCAGAGAAATAACCATTACGTTCTACTTTTTGAATCATCTCAGCCATTAGGCTTTTTGAATCATCAGAAATAACCTCTAATGTCTTTACCATTCAATAAAACCTAGATCACATCAGACGTGCTTCACATCGAATAGCTTTTATATTTTAGGCCCGTTTGTATTTAATGCTTACTGCATGATTAATGCAATTCATAAACGGGGAGAAACAAAGTAGGCCCCAATATTTATTTTAGTGAGGAAATAGTAGTGTGGGCTGTCCAAACTCTATTTAAATTGAATATGAATACTAGTGAGCTCTTATTGTAAGAAATTGAATGGGCTTTGGGTTGATATTAGTTTTCTATACCCAGTTAGCCCCTCCAATCCACCTTCAGCTGCACACTTACTGAAAAATGGGTGATGCCATCACGTGTTTATGTATCAACACGCGAAATTGTTTCATGCGTGCTGGACTGCATTCTTACATGTGCGGTCCAGAAAGTGTAAAGCATCCATTTAGTAAGTGTTTCATCTAAAAACAATGGAAACTAACGATCTAAATGTTTTTTTACTAGAATTATTATTTTTTAGTTTTTTAAATTTATTTATTTATCATATTCATGATCTCCATGTTAGATATTACATATTTTTAAAAATGAAGTTTTAAAATCCATCTCAAAAATATATTTATTAAGGGGCCCACATTTCTACATATACGAGCTTGGCAGCATAGAAACCGAGTCCTATAAAATATCCACATAACACTACATGTAATATTAATTGAGAATGGATCATGTCAGCCCATGAGCTAACAACTATAGTGTCTGCTAATGACCGATCTAACGGTTACGACCTCATTTCGTATTTGAATTTTCATTTTTCTTCTACAAATCAAAAGCACTTAAAATTTTAGGGGTTCATTATTCTCAAGACGCACCTAATAAACATATTAAAAAATAATTTATAAAATATAAATCGGTTTTGAAGGTATTTGGGTTCATTTATATTTTGCATATTTATTTTTTAAATGTATTTATTAGATTATCTTATTTATAAAAAATAAACACTCAAAATTTCAAATGATTTGGATTTGTAGAAAAAAATGAAAATTGAAATACACATTAAAATCGTGACTATTGGATCGGTCCAAATTCAATTTGAACCGTTGGTTGATGCTGTAACGATTAATCCATAAGCTGATTTCATATAAATTAAACCCCACAAATTAAACCCTACAATATTGGATGTAATGGGCAATATTAACTCTACTAATCGAGGGAACGTAGAGAAGGGAATCCTTCAATTGTTGGCCCCGCCCTGCCCTGCTGAAATCACTGCCCTTCCCTTTATTACACACTTGTATTGAATCTATTGATAAGATTCGTGGATAGGAGGAATCCTACCTCTCTCCAGCAAAGTGCCACGACCGCAACTCATCTAATCCCTCGCCCTTTCTCTCTCTCTCTAAAGGAAGGTCCCCCGACGCACGACTGGACGGACAACACGAACCACACAACTCAGATAACCAACAACTCCCATCTCCCTAAACACAACTCAATTCACCCCCAAACTCTCTCTCTCTCTCTCTCTGCACCATGGCAGCAACTGCTGGTGCGTGCTTCCCATCTGTTGCGCGCTATGGCAGAAACCATCTCTCTCCTCTCCCAAGCTCTACTGACCCACTTAGATTATCTCTACTGAGACTTCCTTCAGTGACCACCCCTTTTACTTCCTTGGACTCTCTCTCTCTAGAATTTCTCTCTCTTCGATGCCCTTGTGGAAGGAGAGCCTCCCCCTCGATCTCTTACGCAGTGGCAGAGGAGGAAGCAGCAGCCACTTCTCTTCCACAAATTGTCACTGAAGAAGAAGAAGAAAAAGAAAAGGGAGAGCAGATAGAAGAAGAGAGTGGAGGAGGAGGCGAAATTTCTTCAGATGAGAGCACTAAGTTGTACTTTGGGAATTTGCCTTATGGGTGTGATAGTGCTCAGCTGGCTGGAATTGTTCAGGAATATGGAAGCCCTGAATTGGTAGAGGTAATTTTCCTCTTTATTTTGTTTTCAACTCATAGATTAATTCCCACGTTTACTGGAATTGTTAATTTAAGGAAGTAAAAGGTTTACATAGAGTCCGGTTTTTGTAATACGATTGGGGCCAGGCCCTCGGACAGGCGAGTTACGAGTCCCAGTAACTCGCAACGTGTAGTATACACTAGAAAAATAAAATAAAAAAGGCAAAAACTAAAGAAAAATGATTTGATAAATACTACACCTCTATCAAAACCAGTAAAGCCTCACCTAGTGACTCGTTGAAAATTGTAATTCAAGCATTAAAACACTTTTACATGATCAACTTAACTTGAACATTATGATTGTGAGATAAATTAGGATTTCAAATTCTTAAAAATAATATATATTTTAACAAATTATCTAAACAGTCCATTTTACCCCAAAAATATCTGTTTAAAGATCCACACGATCCGAACGGTTTTTTGAGTTTCAAATTTTATTATCGGTGTTGAATATTGATTTTTGAGCCAACATGAAAATTTTTGTGGGTGAAAGTGCTTTACAAACGAGGATCAAGGGGAGGCCTTGTTTGGTTTCCATAAAGCCTAGGCCGGATAGAAACTTCATCCAAAACTATAACGGATAAGCTTATATAGATACAAAGGGAAAAGTATATAATGAGACCAATTTATCTTTAGTACATTGTGGTCATAATTAAAATCTTGACCATTGGATGTACAATTAGATGACCGCATTTATTTCATTGATCAAGCTCAAGGTTGAAAAGAAATTTTTTCGAATTTTATGACATACCCAAGCCATCAAATTTCACATGAAATAGATAGTTATAAATAATTATGACCTAAATAAATAATTATAAATAATTATGACCTCCTTGTAGTAAAGGTAAATAGTATCATAGTATACCGTCTTTTAAGTATACAAGCGTAGTCTTACCACCCATCCTAGTCTGTCGCTGTCTTTTTTCGTAGGTTACTACACGGCATTGTTTTGAAAAACTCGGTCTGGATTGTGACCGCTCAATTTGGATAGGAAATTAATTGGGACTTGTCCAATTCCAACTAACTATTGAAACAGGCTGGTCGCCCCTAACCTCCCCCCACCCCAAAAAAAAACAAACTTTTTTGTTTTTCAACTTTTTCATTCTTCTGTTTTCTAGGTATAGTCTAGCGTTTAAAGCATATTTTCCATCCCGCCAATTTGGATAAGTGTTCTGGACTGGGATCGATGGGTGAGCAATCCAACCCAACCCACCGATCCGGGTTTTAAAGCACTAAAATGTAAGGTATCTAGTATGTACTTGCACAAGTGAATTCGAGTTTATACTATAAAGTTGAACTAGCTTCCATCATTCTTTCTGTTATGATTGGAATTGTTTGCTAGCATTCATAAGTTCCCTGAGCTTGAAATATCTCAAAGCTACTTTTATTCTCTCCATATTATGAAATTACTATTTTAAGTATCCCATTGAAATATAATTTATTGTACGCAGGTACTGTATGACCGGAATACAGGAAAGAGCCGAGGGTTTGCATTTGTGACCATGAGCAGCGTAGAGGATGCCAATGCGGTCATACAAAATTTGGACGGAAGTGTAAGACACCAATTCCATGATCTCACAAAACAAACACTGAACAAAGAGCCAAAGGTTTCCATTTGTGGTTCAATCAGTTTTGAAAAACAAAGTGACTTGGCTGAGTTTGTCAAAGACTTGGATCAGTCCAAAATAATAATAATAATAATAATAGAAAATATTTATATATCGTAATAATAATAATAATAAACGTTTATATAAAGTTGCAATTTTAAATTGTAGAAAAAAGGTACAGCTCAAAAATATAAAAAAAGTTATTTTGATGGTGAAAAATCCTCTAATTGATCATCTCGATCTTCAGATGGACAACTGTGAAATAAAAAAAGGATTTTAAAATATAAAAATGGCACATCCTGTAATACATTATCTAAACTATCCATTCTCAAGATTTAAGTGTTTATAGATCTGCTTATAAATCTGTTTGATCTGTACAATTTTTGGAGTTTCAAAGTTTTTAATTATATATGAAGAAGTTTTTGGCCTAAAATTCCATCTTTCAATGAGCTTTTGGAGGTGCGCTTTAATTGGATTCTTTAAGGTTGCGACCTTGTTAAAACAAAACCTATAAGACAATTGGGTACAAGGTCATTAATCAACCCTAGTTGTAAGATATAAAATTAGACAGCCTGAGTTGTGTCATTAAATTTAAAATTTTTTTTTGGACTTTGAGCCAATTAATGGTACATTTGTAGCTGCTTGATTTCACATTCAATTATCAAAGATGATTTTGACCTCTTTGTACCAAAGTTATATGATCTTATTATATGCTTTTTCACTTGGGCCAGGTACCCCTTATTGGCCTGAGGCAAGCGTCCAAGTGTTCTCGGCTGAGTAGTGCACAAGTCGAGCAAAGGTTAAATAAAATATATTAAAAAAATTTAAAAATAATGGCAATGTAAAATAAGTAATAGAGCAAACGTTTGAATATTTGTTATGTCTGGTTGGATTGAAACAGGAATATGGTGGTCGCATATTAAAAGTGAATTTTAGGGACAAACCCAAGGCTAAGGAGCCCCTGTATCCGGAGACAGAGTACAAGCTCTTTGTGGGGAACTTGTCATGGTCAGTGACCTCGGAAAGCCTCTCTCAAATCTTTGGGGAATATGGAAATGTGGTGGGGGCTAGAGTTTTGTATGATGGCGAGACTGGTAAATCTCGAGGTTATGGCTTTGTTTGTTACTCCACCAAATCCGAGATGGAAACCGCGCTCCAATCCCTTGACGGAATGGTTGGCTCTCTCTCTGTTTGTGTCTGTGTCTGTGAGTTAGGGTCATTTCCATTCATTCTGTTTGGATAAATATAAACCACAGGTACACTATTTTAGAAAAGAGGATATATATATATAACCAAGGGAGGGGGGAAATAAGAAATTCTTTTCACATAAAAACTTGTAGTGTTTTTAAATTAAGGTGTTTATTATGGTGAGTTTGTGTAATTTTTTTGTGTTTTATGTTTTTCTATGCAGGATCTTGAAGGGCGACCCATACGGGTGAGTTTGGCTTTGGGAAAGAGACAATAATTTTGAAGACAACAAAGAGTTGTTGTAGACATAGGGAATCATGGTTGGGGATGCGAATGCCTCAACATAAAGTCTCACCCTTCATTCCTACCGTTAATATATCAAGAAAAAAAGAAAAAGGGAGTTGGTATAGCCATAGATACAGATTGGGGATTCCTTTGTATTGTGCCCAAAAAGCCTCTATTTGTGCAAATGTGAAAGGATTTCTTATGTAAAGGAATCAAATGTGAGTTATCTAACCAAAGAAAAGTTTAGTTATTACAATTAAGATATAAATAATATCAACATAATGTTAATCCAAATGCAACTAATATTGGCCTAGTAAATCCAATTTGGCTGTAAATTTTAAGAGCACGTCAGTTTAGTTCAAGTGAGTGACTCAATAGGTAAGAACCTTTGAGAGGAAGAGTGATTTCTAAGAGTATGTCAGTTTAGTTCAAGTGGGTGACTGAATGGATAAGAACCTTTGAGAGGAAGAGTGATTTATGTTCTCTGAAAGATGCTATGAGTAAAAAGTTCAAGATGCTTCCAATGTTCAGTGACAAAGGAAAAACAAACATACAAGTAAAAGCACATTTTACAAATGAGAGAGTATTGATTAAGGGACACCTTTCCTCTATATTCTTGCTTATAGGGAGAAGAGCACAACACTCATAAAAAAAAAAAAATGTGCGGGTTTCCATATTGATCATGAACTTAATTTTCTTGTCAATGTGGTAGCAAGACTCATACTTGAGACGTAGAATGCAATCGTCAACTGTTAACCATTCAAGTCTTTATTATCATAGTCAAAGTCTTTTTCCAACTAATTTGGGTTAATTATATGAATCTTGGTCCACTATTATGTTCTATTAAGGGTCATATCTTCAATTTTTATTCTCTTGGACTAGCTTCTTTACCTGTGCTCATTTAGAATGTCGCGGGAATCCTTACATATTTTTCACTTTAGCTTGGCGGTGTTAGGACACATCGCTTTTGGGAAACACTAGTGGATTTTGCTTAGAATATATAATGTAACAGCGACTCGGAGTAATTGCAAATCTGTCTAACGCGTCTGTGTCTAACGCTCTTAGTATGCCTCAATGGCAAACAGCTATTTCCCACAAATTTTTATTACATCCTTGTATTGGCAAGGAAAATTTTTTACAGTACTCTAGTGGTGCTAAGTTCAGGGTTTAGAGCCGACACCATGCCCTTGTAGGAGCAAATTTTAGCCTTGGTACCTCAGGCAAAAGACCCACTTATGAGGATAGGAGGATTTTCTTAAGGGTGCTTATTATTTTGCATAACATATAGAGTACTAGATTACGTGTGAAAATTATTTTGGGAGGTGGTCACTAGGTAAGGAAGTTGCATACCCAAATGAGATCTTAAAATCACCATTTGATATCTTAAAAATAGTATGACAGGGGGTTTTAGCACGAGTGGCTTTTATCCACTTTAAAATTGTTGAATTCCTAAGTACTTTATTGACAAGGTCTTTGAGTTCATAAATACTTAAAAGGAAAAAGTTTTTATAAGGATGCAACATTATAATGTAGGACTACAGATTCACCTCAAAAATCTATAGGAAAAGGTAGTTTTAATGTTGAAAAACCCTTTGATTGATCATCTCGACATCGAGATGTATGAACATGAAAAGTAAAAACATTTTAAGTCTTAGAAATAGTACATTTTACAACATATTATCTATACCGTCCATTTTCAAGATTTTCATATGTTTATAGATCTACTTGATTTTAACTATTTTTGAAATTTAAAATTTTATAATTAGATATAAAAATAGATTTTAAAATAATCGTAAAAATATTTTACATCAAAATTATATACCACGATAAAATTTTAAGGTGCACCTTACCTTTACAGCTACAGATGCATCCATATGCCAACTGCACCCATACTTAAAATGACCTTCTATAAGCTCTTAAATGCTTTTCCTTCACATCCAAGATGCTTTACAAATTCTTTTAAGTTGAATAATGGTACAATGTGTTGGGTGACACGGATCTCACGCAATTGATTTTAGATATCCCTTCAACATATGTCGTCAAAAGGATCTTGGGCCCAGCTCAAACGTAGCTGGTCCCCTAAATTTAGCCCCAATGCTGGGCTGGGACCAATATAGTTGGGCCTCTCGCCCACCCAAATCTTTGCTCACAAATTGAAGGTATTTAATTTGTAATAAGCTTGGCCTGAATATTAACCAGGCCGGGGCGGGCCCTTGGCCCTAGCCAACAACCCCTTACTAGGATTTTGGAAAGTTGAATTAAGGTCGAGAAGAGAGAGAGAGAGAGAGCAAAAAGGATCCTAAGAGTGACAAAGAGAGAGATGATGGCATCAGCTTGTATCATCTGCCTACAGTGCACCAGTACCGTGGACCTCTACCAACTCCCCTTCCCCAACAAGAACCACATCACTCAAACTGCCTCTCTGAGCGACCCTCACTCTCTCTCTCTCCTCCTAAAGTCATGCACAACGATTCGTTCTCTCTCACAAGCCACCCAACTTCACGCCCACCTCCTGAAACTAGGTATCAGTTCAGACCCATATATCCAAAACTCTCTAATCCAAGCTTACTCGGCCTGTGATTCTCTCGCACTAGCTCACCAGCTTTTCGATCAAATGCCTCAAAGAACTGTTGTCTCATGGAACTGCATGATGGCTGGTTACTCTAATCATGGCCATTGGAAAGAATTATACTCTCTATTCCTCCAAATGATGCATGAATCCTCTGTGAAACCCAATTCAGTTACTTTGGTGAGAGCTCTAACTGCCTGTGTAAAGTTAGGGGATTTTGATACGGGCTGGATGATACACCGTTTCATAAAGGATGACTTTAGGGAAATGCCTCTAAATTTGGCAAATGCCCTGTTGAATATGTATGCTAAATCTGGGGAGATGGAGTTTGCACAGAGGTTCTTTGATAATATGACAGAGAAGGATGTGATATCATGGACCACTATGATTAGCGGTTTTGCCAAATCTGGCAATATGGCGTTTGGTCGAATGGTGTTCAATCACATGCCTGAGAGGACCACTGTGTCTTGGAATGCAATGCTTAGTGGTTATATCGAAAATGGGTTGTTTGAAGATGGAGTTTCTCTATTTTTGGAGATGGTGGGTGCTAGCGAAAAGCCGGATAAGGTGACATTTCTTAATGTTCTCGCTCTGTGCGTTCGGTTGGAACATCTTTACATGGGCAGATCAATCCATGGTTACATGCATAAGATTGGGATAGAACCAAGAGTTAATCTGATCAATTCTCTCATTGAAATGTACATCAAATGCGGGGATATGCAATGTGCGAAGTGTTTGTTTGAGAGGATGAGTGAGAAAAACGAGGCTTCTTGGACATCTATGATGGTGGGTTATGTGAAATGTGGATGCATGGATAGGGCTATGAAACTTTTCAATGAAATGCCCGAAAGAGATGTGGTCTCATGGAATGCTATCATCGCATCTCATGCTCAAAAGGGCTATCCCCATGAGGCTTTAGACCTCTTTAACAAGATGCTCTGTTCTGATGTGAGCCCTGATGGGGTCACTCTAGTGAGTGCGCTCTCAGCTTGTGGAAAACTAGGTGCCCTAGAACAAGGGATGTGGATCCATGCTTTAATCCTTAGGAACAATATAGAGAGGGATGTTCACTTAGGAACCTCTCTAGTAGACATGTATGCAAAGTGTGGGTGCATAGAGCTTGCACTAGGAGCCTTTCACAATATGCCTAGTAAGGACTTGTATGCATGGAGCACCATGATTCAAGGGCTAGCCATGAATGGGAATGGTGAGAATGCATTGGAGCTATTGAAAATGATGGAAAATGAAGGTCAATTGCCAGATGATGTCGTCTTCCTTAGTGTCCTTACAGCTTGTAGCCATGCTGGATTAGTGCAGGAGGGGCGCCATTGTTTTGACCTGATGAAACACTATGGTTTATGTCCGAAAGCTGAGCATTACACGTGTATGGTCGATCTCTTGGCTCGAAATGGACTTCTCGATGAAGCAAAGGAGTTTATAGAGAAGATGTCACTAACGGGTGAGGCGGAATGGAGAGCTGTTCTTGGTGCTTGTAGGGCTCATGGTGATGTTGCTCTTGCTGAATATGCAGCCCAGCGTGTGATCGAGATCGATCCTTACAATTCGGGAGCTTATATTCTTTTATCCAACCTTTATGCAGAGGAGAGGAGATGGGATGATGTTGCTAATGTTAGGAAGGTGATGAGGGATAGAGGGGTTCAGAAGATCCCAGGTTGTAGTTGGACAGTGGTGAATGGGTTTCTTCAATTGTTCATGGCTGGTGTTAACTCTTTTGAGGATGTGTCCTCATGAGGGAGACTTCGACAAATCAGCTTCGTACTTCTTTGAGTTTGAAGCAGATTTCCCATGGAATGGTAGAGTTTTCCTGTATAGCGACTTGCCCCACGAGATATTTCATAGAGGAAGATTTCCCACAAACCAAACATAGGAAATTGGCTTGAACAACAGAGATCTTTTTCGGAAAGAGATTTCCGATGAATCAAACGTGTGGTTCATTTTTCATTGCATCTCATGTCTCTGTTTATAAGATACATTAAGTGTATCATAAACTATTTATCATGGAAATTTGGGTAGATGTCTTCTGACCTTACAAGTTGATTCACTTTCTTAGTCAACCAAATTTATTAATTACATTGTGTAGTATAATGTTAGTTATATTAGTAATCAAATGTGAAATGTGATACCTTGGGTATGCTACAAAGTTCAATTTTTTTTTTTGAGATTTTAAGCCTAATCAGTTGCACATTTCCTACCACCTGATTGCACATCCAACCATTGAGAGTGGTTGCAACCTCCTGTGGTCTAATTATTTACTTTTCTTTTATGGGACATTTTCCTTTAGTAATGAATAATTTATGATAGTCCAAAAAACTTGGAAAAATATGCAAAAATTCATCATCTGTAGATCAACATTCCCAGTATGCAGAAACCTTGTGAAATGTCAAAACCAACTTCAATCAAATAATTTGTTCATTAAAGCTTCTTTTGCCTTATATACTTTTTTTTGGTACTTATTTCACCCTCGGTCTATCATTTTACTTATGTAAAGAGTTCATTTTGGATGTTTACAAGCACCATCTCAATGGCTTATGCTTAAGAAAAAATACACTTTCTAAGTTCGCAGCCACCACAAGATGGAGTAATTTTGTCATTTTGCTCAAGCAACTTAAAGTTTAGCCAAATGAAAGTTTAGCCAAATGAAGTAAATACCCCTATTTATTCCAGGTTCCAAGCTAATAACAATAGATTTTATTGAAAAGACTATGTACTGAGTTCGGAAGGCGGAACAAGCATGAGAATTTACGTCATTTGGCACTGGCTACTCAAGTGAGCGTAAATATCAAAATATCCTTGCTTGTTTAATAATCAAAATCTATAACAAAGATATTTTGAGGCATCTAGGCATCAACTTTATGCTATAAAAGTAAGGCACACATAAAAGCCCAGCAAAAAAGGTTGTTCCACTGTAGGGAGAGTGTCAAATTGATCTTGATCTTGAGTTGTATAAATATGGGAAAAAGAAGAAGGACCTAAGTCCTGAAAATGGTGTTTCTTATAACACATTATCTTGGGCCGTTCATTTTCAAGTATTCATATATTTGCTCAATCTGCACTTTTTTTTAAGATTTAAATTCATAGTAGAAGTGGAAATAGATTGTGAGACCATCTTTAGGGGTTTGTGACCAGATGTGGGAAATTGGTCGGTCAACCCAACCAGGTCTTGGTCTGGACCTAGGCAATGGACCCAATGAGTCAGGTTTGGTCCACTTCACCTTGACCAAACCTAGATTGGGTCCAGATTAGGGTCAACCTGACCCAATCGGACCCAATACATATTAGTACAAAACACATATAATCAATATTAACAACATATCCATAGAATGAGTTTAGCAGAGACAATGATGTTGAGATTTATGGGTAGAAAGAAAATAAGGGTTAGAATTTGAAATGAATACATTCGAAAAATTGTAGGTATCGCACCAATAGACGATAAGATGAAAGAGAATAGAATTAGGTAGGCTGACCATGTGTGGTGTAGACCCAGTACAACACCTGTTATGAGGTTGTTTATACTTGAAATTGCGGCCAAGGGACTTCGCCACTGTCTTGGTTTCTGGTGCAAACAAATTGATAAGTTGATAGAGATTGGGTTCCATCAAATTATGTTCCGAGGGAAAATCGGGTCCTAAGACCTTATCCCTCTCGGATTGCCAACAAAGCCGGCTTCACTACTATTTTAAACTTAGAACTCAACCAAGAAAGTTTTCGAAAGGAGGTTTGAAATAAAAGGAAAAATTGAAATAAAAGGAAAAATTAAAAAAAAATAGATTTAAAAAGACAGCAAGAGAAGAGAGCTACAAATAAATAACTAAACAAGGAATATGTAAATAAACAGGAGTAAAGGATCTAACTACGAAGTGCAAAAAGAATACAAATGTAAAAAGCATGGAGATGAGGGAATAATACTAATCTAAACATGCATAACAAAGAATGAATGAGAAAGAGATGACCATGGAGATGTAAGCATGATTATGAAGAAGGAAGGAGATGAGATCCTCATCAATGAGGCAAAGAGATATAACTATAAGATGAGAGTAAAAATAATAATGCGACATGGAAGGAAATAAAATAAGAGAAAGAGGCAAGAAAACTAATGTTAGTAAATAATATGCAATAAGAGTAATAAAACTAAATACAAGAAAGAGATAGAACGAAAGAGCGTTAGAAAGAGAGCTAAGATAAAAGAGAGAAAGAAATAGAGAATGACACATTAAAAGGGAGAGAGAGAAATAAAGGAACACAAGTCATTAATAAGGGATAATAAAGGGTAAGAAAAATAGATGCAACAAAAAGAGAATAAGGGTGACTAATCTAATGAACAAAATCTAAGGGGAAGAGATAAAATAAATATAAAAGAGAGTCAGGGAATGAGAAGGATGGAGGAGATGGGGTCTATATTATTAAATGAGTAAGAGGAGAGAAGAGAAACACACAACAAATCAAAAGAAATAAATACAACAAGAAAAAAGAGAAAACAACCACACAAAGAGAAATGAAAGGTTAGAGTGAGAAGGGAGGAGAGAGCCTATGCTATCAAATGAGGAAAAGAAGGAAGAGACATAAATATAACAAACCAATAAAAATATTCATCACAAAACTAAGGAAAATCACTATTTAATGAAGAGAAAATGGAAGAAGATGGAGATCAACATTATTAAAATAATAAAAAGAGAACGGGGAATAAATACAACAATCCTAACTAAAAATATGTGTTGTTACGAAAAAAAAAAAAACCATTTAATGAAGAGAGTGAGAAATAGGGGGTTTATTGAGAAGAGAATGTGTTATGCTGCTAAACAAAAAAACAAAAAAGAGTAATAAATGCCATGAAACAAAAGAAATAAATGCAAACTAATCAAAGGGAAAATGATCATGTAATGAGGAGAAAAGAGAAACGAGAGGATTAAATATAACTAACTATTCATATTAAATGCTACATTAAATAAGAAGGCAACAGAATATAGGTAGGATCATGAATAGGGAAAAACATATATATAAATAGCTAAAAGAGAAATTAGTATAAGAATCAAAAGAAGAATAAAAGAGAAGTTAAATCATGCAATGAAGAAAGGGAAGAAGAAAGCCATAACTATAAGAGTAAATGCTAGAAAAACCAATAAAAGAATAAATGAAACAATATTTAGACGAGCCCCCCAAATTCGGCACCCAAAGTCAGCGCCAATTCAAATTGTATGGTTGCATAGTCAATCCCGAACTTCTCGATTCTTAACAGGGAAAATGGAAATAGGAAGAAAAGGGCCCAAAAGATCTTATTATCCAGACCACATTCGGTTTGAAGTATAACTTGAAGGAGTTTGTAGTTGTAGTTTTGGGATTGAAGGGTTTAGATGAGATGGAGGTTGCTCTAATGGGCTCACCTTGGTACTTTTCTCTCAACCTCAAGCTTGAATTTAAGATCAAGAGATTTTTGGGCATAATCTAGGCTCAAGATTAAGGGAACAACACGTTAAGTTTAAGGTAAAAGGGGCTATTTATAGGCAAAATGGACTCATGACAGCATATAGGTTAGTTTCGTGTAATTTTCAAGCCATTAGAACTCCAACGACACTTGGTTTGGTGCAGGCTTGGAATGACGTCATGTCATTAATGCTGCAATAAAAGCAGTCATCAAATATTAATTGCTCACTAATGCGGCTTTGGTATAACCTATCAGAATCTGATGCCAGGCGGCATTCCGACTGCTGTCAAACACTGTTTTGGACACATGTCATGTTTTGGTGACTCTGATCTGGTTTAGATAGACCAATCACAGCTTGTAGTTGTTTGGAATGGCACCGGCGGCATTTGAACTGCCACTAGATACCAGCTGGCATGCTGTCTTGGTTGTACCTTCGTCTAATCATCAACCAATAAGAATTCGACAACCTCGAGTCGTACTGACGTTTGACATGTTAGTGCGGGCTTGTCATGTTGACGGGTACAGACCGACACATCAGCCCATCATTTCAGCTGCATCGGCCAGGTTGTTTCCCGTCAAGTAGAGCTCTTGGGACCTGACGCTGTTTGAAATGGTGTTGGTGGCATTGGCACTGCCGCCAGGCTTCTAATTGTTTTGGAGCTCACTGGGGTCTGGGTCTGGGAGCTAGTGGGAATGGTGCTGGGGCTAGTGGGAATGACGTCGAGTGTCTGCCCACCCAGGTCACACATTTTATGTCTGAGATGTCTTTGGTACCTTGCTATCGGACTTCTATTAGGCTTTGGTGCCCATTGAGGTAACATCAGATTCTTTTCTTCTGAAATGCTTCATGGTCAGGTCGTTTTGAGTCTGTCTTGCCTTGTCTAGTCCCATGATGCTTTTGGTCCCACTTGGAACAATAAGGGTTTGGTGGAGGCTAGGTTTACAGAGAAGGGGTTCCGGTGGGGTGAATGGTGTAAAATATCTGGGTGGTCCTAGGACATTTCATAATTTCCCCAGTCGAGATCAGGGTATCTATAGAGGTATGAGCCAGTTTAAGTGGAATGCTAAAAAAATGGCAAAGGATAGGCCCAAAAGGCCATGATTGGAAGTAATGAGAAAAGATATGTGGATTTATGATATCTCTGAGGGTACGACCCTTAATAGAGCAGAATGATGGACCAAGAGTTGTGTAGCTGACCGCAATTAGTTGAGAAAAGACTTTTACGATAATGATGAATCAATGTTATCTATATCCTATAACCGAAAATATTTTTTATGTTTTATTTATAGATCCAGACCCAACCCTCTGAGTCACGATCAAGTCTAATTGACTTGGTATTGACCCAGACCCGGTTCAAATTCAGGTCTAAGTTAGACCTGGTTAGGTTGACCTAGACCCAACCTGACCCATTCTCGAGCCTATTTTTAGCATTGGAATTGCATCTTTTAGCAGGATTTCCAGATGTGGCATACTTTGATTAGGGCAGCAGCGGGCATGGCCTAGGCTGTGCTAGCAATGGCCTTGCCCAAGCCCAGTTTTGACCTTGGTCCCATAGGTTGGCCTGGGACCGACCTCGGCCCTGTTAGAGTTGGGCCGGTCTTATCATGGCCCTAGCCCAATCTTTGCCTGCCTGGTGTAGCCTTCGGTCCATATTTGTGGCCCAAAGCCCTAATTTTAGGAAGTGGACAACGCCATAGGCCATTTTTTACAATGCTATTGACATTGGATCATTTTTGTTCCTATCAATGTTTTAAATTATGATGATCTGGATTGAGAATCCACAATTCAGATTGGAATCAGTGTGTGAGGTATCTCAGTCTCCCAGGAATCACCTAGTATTAAATTTGAATTTAATGTTTTCTCCTATTCAACCAACTCTGCCAAATAGATCGCCGATCCAGATTTGAATTACAAAATATTTACTGAAAGATCACCATCCTATTGTCACTTCATTGCATGTAACTTCGTTGGAGAAAAACACGCGCTTTCACATTTCATGGAGACGCCAATATTGACTCGAGTATCAGGACGAAATTAGGTTATTAAGACAATATTTCATTCAAAAATCCGAAATCTCAATGTCGTTTGTTTAGGGCGAAATTGGAGAGAGGAAGGTTCATATTATTATCTAATAATCCACACTTTTCTCAAGTCGACATGCCGTTAAATATGCATCAAATCAAAATTAATAATGGTTTTTTCTATTTTAAAATGATGACCAAATTTTAGCTGGCAACCTTTTCACGTGCTAATACCTCAAATGGTGCACTAAATTCCACCATCACATAAAAAATAAGGAAAACATTTTATATAAGGGTGAGGCTCTAAACAATCAAATTAAGGCGTACCACAAAAATTTCATTAGAAGAGGTTGTTTCAACGCTTAAAAATCTTCAAATTGATTATCTCGACAACCAGATACATGGATAAGAGAAAAAAAAAAGATTTCAAGTCTAGAAAATAGTGCATCTTGTAATGCATTTTTGGATTATCAATTTTCAAAATTTTTAAGTGTTCATAGATCTACTCGATCTACACTATTTTTTAAGCCTTAAATTTTATAATTAGAGATAAAATAAATCCACTATTTTTAAGCCTTAAAATAATTAGAGATAAAAATAAAATTTCAAGCTATTACAGAGATTTCTAGCATTAAAAAGATACTATTTAACAATGCGCCTTACTTTGATTGTTTAGGGCCTCGAACGTATATAAACTACACCAAAAAATGAATTTAAACAAGAAAAACATTTATATATAAGGGTGCAATCTTAAACAATCAAATTAAGGCACACCTAAAAAATTCAATAGAAATTCACTTGAAAAAATAGGTAGGGGCATGTCTTTCCCATTGAATTACCCAAAAAAATGATCTATACTCTACATTACTAGGATTAAGGAATCGAATTTTTCATGGATTTCGACTACTATTCGGCTCCTATGTAATTCAGGCAAAGTTAGTGCACGTTTGGCTCGCGTGAAAATATTTCGTAAAAAATATTTTCACATTAAAAATCCCTTATGTGGTTAGGGGTTTCACATCAATTAGCTAGCAATTGGTGATAGAAGATGCACTAGGATCAATTGGTATGAAAACATTCTCACATCTAATCATCTAAAGAAATTCTTTCATTTGGAAATACCTAATCAAAAAATATTTTCACGCGAAACAAACATTTGTAGTATAAAAACTATGATAGGGTCAATCTATGGACCTCAATTTTTTATATATACACTATTTGTAATATGTCAAACAATTGCAAAAAATAAAAATAAAAAACCATGATACGATGAAAATATCTAATCAAGAAATATTTTCACATGAAACAAAACATTTGTAATATAAAAAACTATCATAGGGTCATTTTATGGACCTCAATATATATATATATATACTATTTGCAATATGTCAAACAATTGCAAAAAAATAAAAATAAAACTAAAAATGTGTGCCTTAAAAAGTATGTTTTTGAGCCAATTAATATTGATCATCTATTTGGTGAGATACGTAGATCTAGGTCTTATAGATTTATTTTTCTTTTTCAAATTTTGTAAAAGTATTTATTATCATTAGATGAATAATGTTAAAGAAGAAATTGATTTTGAGTTATGTAAAAATATTGATTTCAAAGTTCGCAAAATTGACAGTCTGGATTTGTTGTTGAAGAAGGACTCATATTGATAGTTTAAATTGCAAATAGATATTATTTTATTTTATATTTTCTTTTTGAAGTTTAATTATTAGGATGAAGAGAGTGCATATGCAAAATTTGGAGTCACACAAATGCCACAAATATGATTTTAGAAATATAGTTTTATTATATCACAATAACATGGTGACATGAAATCACTCCCTTAATATTAATTTATTATACAACTCCTTAAATGTAGTAAAAAAAAGGGTCATATATTGCATAAAGTAACAGCCTTAAACAAGCAATTAGATTAAAACACGACGCTTTTTAAATACTGCTGAAAGATGCAGTGTTAATGTCAAAATGGTACGAAAACTTTTTGTTTCTAGAATCTCAAACGTCAAAAATAGCGTCGATCGAGCCTATCTATAAATAATTTTTTAAAAATTGAAAGTAAAACGTCCAGAGTTGTTGCAAGATACATAATTTTTAGGGCTTAAAATTATTTAACACCTTTTATGGTTAGAATAACTAATTGAAAGTCCTATCCGTATCAGAACAAAAATATCTAGAGTGCGCCTCACTAGAACTCCTTGACCAAACATTTTCCGTTGTAGTTGAAAGGCTTTTTGGTTGTTAGTCATTTTAGGTCGTTAGTCATTTTCCCCGTTGTGTGGTGGTTTGTATGAGGCGGAGACCTTAATCCATAAAAATAAGGCACACTTTCAAATATAATTGAAAGATGTTTTGATACTAAAATTCATTGTGATAGTTTAAAAATTTATTTTCATATCTAATTATAAACTTTAAAAGCTTTAAAAATAGTGTAAACTAAATAAATCTATAAATACTTAAAAATCTTGTAAATTGACTGTCCAAAAATACATTACAAGATATATTATTTTTAAGATTTAAAACTTATTTTTTTCATGTCCACTCATCTTGAGGTTGAGAGCAATTTAAGGATTTTTTTTAGCATTGATTTGAAGTGTTTTTTAAATATAAATTTTTTTTTCTTGTTCAAATATTTTGGAGGTTAAATATTTTGGAAGTTCGCAGTAATGAAGTGACTAAAGCGTGAGGGTGTTGAGGTGACTAAGACGTGGGAGTGTTACGAGTACGCCCCAGTCGGTCACTCCGTTTCCTAAAGTGTAGATCCTTGAGTGTCAAACCTCTCTGGTCCGCGTTTACACGGAATCTGAGGGCCGAACGGTAGGTTATACTATTTCCTTAAACAGAAGCGGAAGCATCAAGAACATGATCTCTGTCCTCTTTATATTATATTCTATACGATCAAAAGCCTGCTAAATTTACTCATCAAAACCAGCCATGACTCCATGCCTCTTCCTTTTTCTATTTCATCTTCTCTCTCTATTTTTCCGGCCATCTCTAGCCGCTTTCCACCTCCTCAACTCCACAACCTGGACCTCAGCTGTCGATCCCACCAAGGATTTCACCCCAGCCGTCGATTCGACCGGAAATCCCATCGTCTCCCAAAATTCCATATTTGCCCTTGGCTTCAGCCCTATAAAAAACTCACCTGCAAACTCCACTTCCTATCTCCTGTCTGTTATAATCGGATACAATCTAAACTCTTCCACCGCTTCACCGGTGCCAATATGGACGGCGAACCGGGAGAAACCGGCCAGAGAAACTGGCCATCTTCGGTTTTCCGGCGACAGAAAGCTGGTCTTGGACGACGGAACCGGTTCTACAATAGCGGCTTTCGGTGCGAGTAAAGCATTGTCTATGGGGCTTCTGGATAACGGCAATCTTCAGGTCTATAATACCACTAATTCCTCGTTAGCGATAGGTGATAACGTGATTTGGCAAAGCTGGGATCTTCCGACGGATACCTTAGTCACCGGCCAGGTTTTGCACACAGGCAGTCAACTGGTGGGAAACTTATCGGACGGAAATTCCTCAAGCGGTCCTTATTCTATGGTCCCGAAACCGGGTGGTCTGGTTTTCTACATTGAAAAAGAAGCGTATCTGACCGTTGGATTGGCGGGGACGGAACTCTCGAGCAATCTGGCACCCTGCTTTTATAACTCGTCTTTGTCGGAGACCGGAGCTCAGGCAAAATTTACAGGAAATTCTTTCGAGATTTACATTTCCGCGAATTTGACGAACTCTTCTTCGTGTGAGTTTGCTAAATCAAAAACAGTGTTCAATAACCCTTCACCGAATAATACTGATGATTACAGGTTTCTAAGACTGGATTATGATGGTAATTTAAGGATTTATACGTTGGATCCTTCTCCTGATAATCCTTTAAATTTAAGCTTATGGATGTTTAGCGAGCTAATTAACCCTGATGATTTATGCGATCTTCCTATGTCTTGTGGGCAATATGGTCTTTGTAGAAACAAGCAGTGTTCTTGCCCTGGATCAGGGACCCTTGATCAGTTTGAGCAGATGGACGGCCTGGATGTGGCCAAGGGCTGCGAGCCTAGGTCCCCATTATCTAATTGCACCGGTGAATCGGACGGCTCTGATGATCACTTGCTTCCTCTTCCTGGTTACGACTACTTCTTGAACGATTTGAACTCGCCGGAGACGCACACGGACGAGGCAGATTGCCAGAGTATTTGCCTGAAAGATTGCGATTGCAAGGCCGTCTTCTACCGGAATATGACCGGAGCTTGTTTTCCGGTAAGAGAGGAGATCCGTACTCTTAAAGCGGCTGATAACCAGACGTTCAAAGCTTATTTAAGGGTGAGCAAATGGCCGGAGCAGGGGACGAGGTCTTTGACTGTGGGTCAGATTGCAGGCATCACTGTCGGGTCGGCTTCGGCTGCTCTGTTTCTATGTTTAATCATCGTGGTGTTTTACAAGAAATCGGCGAGTAATTCAGTTCCACCCGAAGAGGAAGTGGAGGTAGACCCCGAAGAAGCCGAGGAGGAGGCATTTTTTAAGACGTTACCAGGTCTTCCACCGAGGTTTTCATACGAGGAGCTGAGAATCTCGACTGACGGGTTTCGCCGGAAGCTTGGCTCCGGAGGGTTCGGCATCGTGTATGAAGGGGTTTTACCCGATAGCACCCCAGTCGCAGTTAAAAGGCTCGGTGGAAGCGGTCAAGGGTTCAAAGAATTCAGAGCCGAAGTGGCGACTATAGGGAGCTTAAGCCACATAAACCTGGTTCGCCTGTGTGGATTTTGTGCTGATAAAGGTAAAAGGCTATTGGTCTACGAGTTCATGTCTAATGGCTCTCTGGACTCTTGGCTTTTTCAAAGAAACGAAGGAGGCGAGTCGAACTCAACCGACTCGAGTCGTTTCCTCACGTGGGAGCAACGGTACGGCGTCGCTTTAGGCACGGCTCGTGGACTCGCCTACTTGCACGAGGGTTGCAGAGAACCGGTGCTCCATTTAGATGTCAAGCCCCAAAATATACTCCTTGACCGAAGTTTCGTCCCGAAAGTTTCAGATTTCGGCTTGTCGCGGCTCCTAGGCGGAGGCGAGACGCGTGTGTACACGGCCGTACGGGGAACACCCGGATACCTAGCCCCAGAGTGGCTCCGACACTCCTTGGCCACAAAAGGATGCGATGTGTACTCGTACGGGATGGTTTTACTGGAGTTGGTCTCGGGCCGCCGAAACTTCGAGCCCGAAATGTCGGATCCCAGACTTTGCTATTTCCCGGCATGGGCCATGCTCAGAGCAATGGAAGGAAGACATGAGGAGCTTGTGGACCCCAAGTTACGCTTGCACGTGGGGGATAACATTTTGCACGTGCGAGAGGCAGTTAGGGTTTTGAAGGTGGGCCTCTGGTGCATACAGGAGGATCCCAAAGACAGGCCAAGTATGGTAGAGGTGGTGAAGATGATACAAGGGGAGTGGCACGTGCCAGAGGCTCCCTTATGGTTGATCGAGAGGGGCCCCCAATTTCTTGAAGCGTACGGCTACGATAATGTACGCATGGACGATGATGAGCGGTCCTCGTGTACGCTGGTGTCTAGTGTTGACGTATCTGGGCCCAGATGAGAAGGAGAAACCGCAATGGCACATGGAGGGCCATACCCTAGTATTAAAATATATATATATATTACATTTTAAGAGACTGCTTATTTTTATTACAAAAAAAAATCTCGATTTACCTGTAGTTATTAGAAAAGCCAATTTATATGGTTTGGGTTGACTCACAAAAAATTGAAAACTTTTTTAATATCTTATTACTAACACTCTTATGGCCATCCGATTTGAAGTTTAACCGAATAAGAGTTATTGTGACATGTACAAAAAGTAAGTAGTCTCGCAGGGCCTTCTCCTCCCGTCGATTTACCATAAAAAAAAAAAAAGAATAGAAAAGAAAGATGAAGTAGTCCCTTTGTACAAACGGGGATGCCGATGTTTTACCAGGGAAGGAGGTCATTATATTGACTTGATTTTAAACAGGATTTAGTTTTCTTTCTATGTGCTGCAATTTTGTTTAGCACTTAGAAGCATGGAATTTTGTTAGTTTGAATAGCATGGTGGAATAGATACACGTTAAATGTTAGAAAACGAGAGAGAGAGAGAGAGAGAGAGAGAGAGAGAGAGATTAAGCTATTGTACATTCATTTATACCTCAAGTATGAGTGGGTGCTCCACAAAGAATGCGTGTTTTGAAAAGAATTAGAATAAGAGTGATCTTTTTTTGGGTCCTAAACTCCTAATACAATAAAAAAAAGGTACACCTCTAAGTGACTTTCAAAGATATCTTTCTTGTCGTTATCATCATCAAAGCTTTTTTACAACTAATTGCGGTTGGCTATACGAATTTTAATATGTCATTATGCTCTATTAAGGTCATACTCTCGGTGAGACTACAAGTCCCTGTATTTTTTTTCACTACTTCCAACTATATCCTTTTAAGGCTTACCCTTGTCTTCTTTTAGCCTTCTACTTTAACTAATACGTATCTCTTAACAGGTGTTGTACTAAGTTTGCACTGCACATGGCGAGCATACTATGCCTACTTTCTCTCATCTTATTGTCAAATGGTGCCATACCTAAAATATTTTGATGTATTCATTTCGAATTTTACCCATTCTTGTTTTACCAATCATTCATTTCAACATCCTTATCTCAGCGGCACTCATTCTATGAGTATGTTGTTTCTTGACTGCCCAACATTTGACTCCATAAAACAAAGCTGATCTTGCAACTGTATCTAGAACTTGCCTTTCAGCATCATTGGTATACATCGCTCACATAAAACTTTGGTCACACATCTCCATTTTGCCCACCCAACTGTAATTCTATGTACGACATCTTCATCAATATTTCTATCTTCTTGGATTATAGACCCAATATATCGAAAGTACAGTATTTTTTATATTTGGTGGTCATCAATCTTAACTATTTCTTCGTTTCTACTCTTATTATCACTAAATTTGCATTTCATATAGTATGTTTTAGTCCAGCTAATTTTAAAACTTTTAGATTTTAGAGCATCCCTCCAAAGTTCTAACTTTCTATTGACGTTGTTTCAAGTCTCATCGATCAAAACTATCTCGTCCGAGAACAACATACACCATAGTACCTCATCTTATAGGTGCTCGGTTAAGTCGTTCGTAACTAAGACAGAGAAGTATGGGTTCAATGCTGACCCATGATGTAGACTTATTGTCAAATAACATTGATTCAATGATTCATGGAAAAGTTTTGATAAATTTTTATTTTGGATGTCTGCCTAACACAATCCACTTCATTTACCAGGGCTTGGGACGAGTTAAAGGAAAGTTTAATGTCCTCATCCTTCTTAGACAATGTTGAAAATCCCTATGGTGGTCTAAAATCTACTTTCATAAAAAATTATGAACTTTAAAGCTTAAAAAATAGTGTAGATCAAGTATATCTACCGACATTTGAAAATCTTGAAAATAAATGGTTTAGATAATACATTACAAGATGTACTATTTTAAGATTTGAAATCTTTTTTTGTTTTGTGCTTCCATATATATCGAAGTCAAGATGATCAATTGGAAGGTTTCAAGGCATCATAACAACCTTTTTCAACGAATTTTTTAGTTACACCTTACTTATTGCAATTTTGCACAAGTGCCATTTGTTGGCAGGCAGTTCCAAATTTTTAAAAGGAAAAAAGTTTAGATAAGGTTGCAACCTTAAACTATGGAATAAAAGGGCATCTCAAAAATCCATCTTAAAAGGCTCCTTTGATGTTTTGAATATTCTCTAATTGATTATCCCGCAATTGTGATGTATGGATATAGAAAAAAAATAAAAATTTTGAGTTTAAAAAAACAGTGTATCTTGCGACATATTATCTAGACTGTATTTTAAATATTTTTATGTGTTTGTAGATCTACTTGAGTTGAGCTACTTTTTGAATTTAAAATTTATAATAATATATAAAAATAAAAATTTTATAATTAGAGATGAATAGATTTTGAAGCCATTCTAAAAATTTTTAACGCCAAAATTATATGTTATGATCAAATTTGGAGGTACACCCAACTTTAATTATTTGAAATCGCTGCAAACCACTCGCTTTTAAAAAACCTCCGTTTTACATGTTGGAAAGTAAACCAGCAGAAAATCATTTTCCAATAGAAAAACTCGCGTCACTTCCACTGACAAAGAGAAAATCTTTTTTCGAACTTTGATCGCATACGTTGTTGGTATACCCCATAGCCCTATTTCACATCTTTAATATTTAGTTTTGTACGGCCCTTGCCATCGTATTTCACATTTATGAAAAATATATAATAAAATTATTTATCTTTGATATAATGTGGTCACAATTAATTTTGACAATCGGATGTGAAATTGAAAGGATACATTTATTTCATTGAGCAAGTTTAAAGATTAAAACAAATTTTTTTGAATTTTTTGACATACCCAAGTTATCATATTTCACTTTGAATCGTTGTAAAATCAAAAGTAAATGGTCTCATTATAACAATCCCTCAAAGAAATATTAAACCAGGCACCTATCTTCCCACAGCGAAAGTGTCCATATGATGCAGCCGGTAGAAGGGTATCTACCTCTTATTTTTCTTTCATTTTTTTCTCATGGTGATACCGCAATAAATTCATACAAAGATTTTCTTTTTTTTTATCTTTTGTTTTTGTTTCTTTGTTTTATTGCTATTTGCCTTTAGTTTTATCAAGGTTATCCAGAAAAGGTCGCCCTCTAAAACTTTTAAGGTTACTTGAAAAAGCTACAATCTTTTTGCAAAGTGAGATTTTATAATACTCTATCATAAACAAAGAAATGCCAAAATATAAGAAAATTACAAAAATATACTCTTTCATTATATGATGTGAAAAGCTTTCTCGAAAGCTCGTTTATTATCTTATTAATACATGTACTTGTGTGAACTTAGAAGCCAATTGATTTTATGTTAACTAGATTTATAAAAAAAAAGTAAGAGAAATATAAAATACTACTAAGACATTATTGTTAATGAGATATTTATAGTTAAATTTTTGTTTAAATTCTTGTGCACTATCAAAAGTGTAAAAAGTTTGACATATTCTTTTAACATAAGCATTCATATATTTACAAATGTCTTTTATGATAGGGAAATGATATCATGTCACCATGTCATTATAATATAATGCAACCATGCTTCTAGAAAAACCATGTTTTGTAGTATTTGAACGACTCAAAAAAAATTTTTTATACCTACACTCTCGCCATCTCAATAATCAATACTAAAAAAAAAAAATTGCACTCTATATATGGTAAATATGAGTCCCCTCCAATAATGAATCTAAACTGTCCATTTGGTGAATTAAATATCTAGGTCTTTATGAATTCAAATTCGATTTTTTTCTTTTCTAATGTTGTTAATCTAATGATAATAAATTTATCTAAAAAATTTGGAAAGAAAAAAGATCCTTCTTAAACCTAGATCTAAGTATCTCATAAAAATGAACGGCCTATGTTAATTGGGTTAAAAATACACTTTTTAGATTGTGTTTTTAAATATTTCTTTTTTGTGGTTGTTCATTAGAATGAAAAAAATATATATTTTAAAATTTGGGTCAAACAAATTGGCTTAATATGGTTTTTTAAAATTGTTTCATTATATTACTATACAACCGTTGTATGAAATCGCTCCCTTTTATGATATAATATTGAAGCTCTCAATCAACATTAACAATCGCTAAAGGTAAAGGAAATCTAAGACTCTATTTTCGTTATCTCTCTTAAAATATACCTCTCCCTTTCTTTCTTTTTGTTTTCTTCTCCCTTTTTGTTTTCTTATTTCTGTTTCTTCAAAGGTGAAATCTCAGTTAATCGATCTATGTGTTTCCTTTCATTTCTCTCTTTCTTTTCTTTGTTTTCCCCCCTCTCTCTCTCTCTCTTCAATTTTATTAAAGTTACTCCAAAAAGCGAGCTTTTTGGAGAGATATAAATGTGGAAGAACTCAAAATTTGAGTTCTAAAATATCATTTACTTTTGATACAAAGAGTTCACATTTATTTTTAGCAATTAGATCTAGGAAAAATTTTATATAAGTGCAAGGCTCTAAACAATCAAATTAGAGTGCATCTCAAAATTTTCACTATAATAGGTTGTTTTGATACCTAAATATCCTCAAATTGATCATCTCGGCTCTATACAAACTGCACCTTTAGATATAAATATTGTAGTGTGTCACAACATTAGATAAATTAAATTTGGAAAATGATTTGATAGGGTTGTAACCCTATCAAAATAAGTAAATCCTCACCTTAGAACTCATCGAAAATTGTATATCAAACATTGGAAAAGCTTTACATTAATCATCTTGACTTAACTTTATGGTTGTGAAAAAAAAAGATTTCAAGCTCTAAAAATAGTGTATATTATAACAAATTATTTAGACCGTCCATTTTCTCTTCAAAATAATTGTTTACAAATTTGCAAGTTTTGTACCATTTTTTTAGCTTCAAATTTTATTTTCGGAGTTGAAAGTTGATTTTAGAGCCATCCTAAAGATTTATGCCGTAGAAAGTACTTTCCAAACAAAGATTTGAGGTGAGGTTATATTTTGTTTTCATAAAGCCTAAGCCTTTTAGAAACCTCATTTATTAAATTTTGGACTTTGTGCTACGCATTCCCAACCAAACCACCTGATTTCATATCTAAAAGTTTATTAATGGTTATGATCTCTTTGTACCAAAACTAAATACTCTTATTGTATATATATTAAAAAACATGGTCTTATCTAGTAATTTCAAGCTTATTAAAAAATTCCTCCCACCAAAATGGATCTACTGCCAACAAGTAAGCACACTATACCCTTGCAGGAGCATGATATAAATATATATTCAAATTCTATGTGATCACCATAGTGTTCCAAAACTCATATCGGTGGGTAGATCGTTCATCCATAGATCCATGTCGGATCATTGGATCGGTCTGAATAAGTAATTCTAAAGAATATTTAAAATAAGCGAAATAAAATAAATATTATAATTCAATTTTATAAGGTAGATATTTAAAGGGAATGAAAATTAAAAATTAAAAGTAGAAGTCAATAAACTTTGAGAAAAAAAAACAAGGAAAAAGTTTATATAAGGATGCTATAATGTAGAACTTCGGATGCACATCAAAAATCCATCGAAAAAAGTAGTTTTAATGTTGAAAAACCCTTTGATTGATCATCGAGATGTATGACCTTGAAAAATAAAAAGATTTTAAATCTAAAAAATAATATATTTTACAATATATTATCTACACCGATAACACGATCCATTTTCAAAATTTTCATATATTTATAGATCTACTTGATTTTAATCCTATTTAAAATTTAAAATTTTATAATTAGATATAAAAATAAATTTGAAATAATCTTAAGAACATTTTACATCAAATCTATATACCAAAATAAAATTTGAATGATGCACGTTACCTCTAGTGATGCATCCGTATGCCAACTGCACCCCAAAAAAAAAAACATTACATGAGAGATGTTTTAGAGGGGAACTGCTTTGGACTCGTACCATCCTGGCCACATATGCCCATGCCCATCAAGATCAGCGGTCCACGTGGAAGACGAGCAAGTTTTAAAACCGTGGGTCACAGTAAGTTTCCCCGTCAATTCCCATTTCCCTTGTTTGTCGTTGCGCGCGCACCTTGTCTTCTCTTCCAATCGCATGGGCATGGGCATGGGCATGGGCATGGGCATGGGCATGGGCATTGCAATAGCTAAGGCCAGGTCCCTCGAAGCTTCAAGCAGGCAAGTCATATCCACCTTTTGTTTACAGGTCGGAAACTTCCTTGTCTCCTTCCTCGTACCTTACTCCACTTTTAACGCCATTAACCAATAATTTCGTGATTTCATATCTGTTGCGATATGGGTATTCTCTCTCTCCCATAAATTACCTCGAGGTGATGGAGGAGTGAGCATTGTTCGGTGAATGTGGCCATTTATTTTACAGGACCCGGTGTTTATGAGGAGAGGGGAATCTCTCTCTCACATAAATTCCCTCAAGGTGCTGGAAGAGTGAGCATTGTTCAGTGCATCTGGCCATTTATTTTACAGGAGCCTGTGTTTATGAGGAGAGGTTACGGTTTCGATTAATTTCATGAGAGATCGAAGTGAAATTTTCATTTCAGTTATATGTTGATTTCTTAGAGAGAGAAACCATTTACCAGTGGAGATTGCTTTAGAGCGAGAGCGAGAGCGAGAGAGAGATGGCAGGAATGTTGCCTGGTGTGGAGGCAGCGAGGAGGAGGAAGACCCACAGTAAGGAAACTCACGTTGAGCGATGGGCACCGCGATCGCGTCGATTCGAAGAGGATTCAAGCACCATGGGGGAGGCCGCTTTGAAAGCCCGTAGGAACCTCGATTCCAAGCTGGGGAACCGCCTCCTGAGGTTCGCCATTCGATTCCTCTTTCCGATTATGCTTAATTTAAGGATTTTCTCTCTGCTCTTTTGTGCTGTGGTGTGCAGGTGCAGGCCAAGGGATGAAAGCGGTAGCAAGGAAGAGAGATGTAATAAAGGAAGAGAGAGAATAGAGATGGAGAAGGAAGTGTGTGGCGTGTGTTTGGATGAGTTAGAATCAGGGGAGGGTCTGACTCGATTGCCATGTTCTCATTCTTACCATTCTCATTGTCTTCTCCCTTGGCTCTCTCGCTCCTCTCATTGTCCCTACTGTAGAGCCCATGTTCCCCTTGTGCCCAATTCCCTCTGATTATATTTATTTATAAATGGAAAATGTGGTGTTGCGTTCTATGACCTGAGTGAGACACAAAATCCTCCCATTCTCCAACGGCGTGCGTGAAAATACCCAAATGGGTGGAACTGGACCCAGCCCGGTTACTCGCAACCAACCCACCCATAGATGCCGCTTCTTTGAGCCTCGTTAAGTTCCCAAGTTTGAAAAAATTCATAAAAAAATATTTTAAAAATTCAAAAAGTAAGAAATTAACTTGTAATGTGTTTTTGTATGTTTTGATAAAAATTATAAAGTATTTTGATCATAAATACTCTTTTTTCGATTATTTCTAAAATACACCGGTCACAATTTGATTTTTTTAAATATATTTTTAATTACTTTTTTAACTCGTGTTTTGTTTAATTTTATTTGAAACATATCTTTCAATAAAAATTTGGGATTTTTTTATTTTTTCTAAACAATTTTTTGCCTAGACGGTGGTTGCCTGACTGACTCGGACCAGTTCCGGGCTACCTAGACCAGGCCCATGGCTGCGTTTCGCAGCCAGGTCGTGCAATCCAACACTGATTCAAACCATTGTTTAGAGACCTATCGCAGGGACCCACCCAAATCAGGTGGATGTTAGGTCCGAGTCACCTTGGCGACTCAATCCTAGCTGGGAAAAGATAAGAAAAGGCAAAAAATACAAGAAAATATATAAAATCAATTATTCCAGACCAAAAAAGTAATTTCAAGGAGGTATATATAAAAAATTAAAGAAAATAAAACTTTGGGAAGAAAATGCTAGAAAAACTGGCTGAGAAATAACCAAAAATTGATCTTCAAGAATTACTGGATTTTATTTAAATTTTTTTATTAAGGCTTGTATAGATCAATGTAATATGAATATTTTGAAAAAAAAAATTAATGGATTTAAAACGATGCGAATGAAATGGAAATTTGAAGTCTTGATTTCAAATTAAAAAAATCAGAATTTTTTTTTTAAAAAAACAAACCCATTGAAATTTGAAGTCTTGATTTCTTCGGCGTTTATCCATCAAATTGTCATAGGGGTTTCTATGTGGGCTGATCTACATAAATTTGAAACAAATTTCAACTTTTTTGGTGGAAATTTGAGCGAGGAGTTGTTTTCGGTGATTGGGGGGTCAAAAAGAAACTAAAGCTGCTTGCTGAAATCAAAATCTCTGAGCTTCTACCTTAAAATTGATGGATTGACGCTCAAATTCGCAATGGAGAGGAATAATTATAGATTAGGGCCCATAGTTGATAAAAAAATTTCAAAAATATTTTTTTTTTCTATTGTTCACATGATGGGAAAAAAACATTTTTGGGACCAACTTGTCCGAATCTAAGCAAGAATCAACCTAGATATCCCCCAAGCCTCTTCCCAACCGGCTGGATCTGTAGGTTATTTGTAAAGAAAAAAGTTGATGTAAGGTGTCGATCTGAAACTATTGAAGCAAGATGCACCTTGAAAATCTATTGGAAAATGTTGTATTAATACTTGAAAACCCTCAAGTGGTTCATCTCAACCTTGACATGTATAGATACGAGGAAACAAAAAAAAAAAAACGATTTCAAGTCGTCAAAATATTGCATTTTGTTATGTGCACTGTCCATTTTCAAAAAAATTAAGTATTGACAAATATACTCGATCTACTTCATTTTTGGAGCGTTAAATTTTATAATTGGTAGTAATAACTATACTATCATGCCATCGCGGACCTTTTTGACACCAAAACTCACATAATTTTGAAGTGCCTCTTATTTCAATAAGATAAAGTTAACCAACTTATACAAACGTCGCCCATTTTTAAAACCTTGGTTCAAAAGTAATATCTCTGTTTCCCCAAAATAAATGGTCTTTCTTATCATCCTCATGGAATCTGGCGTTATATACCATTGGCACTCGTGTTCTTCAAAGATGTGGTCTTCTTTCAAAATGACATTTTCCGCATCTTAGCATTCAATATTTTGCTTTAGTTATAGGCAAGTAAACACGTTGCAATTGTTATGTTTACAGTTTTGTAAGGGTAAAAATACTTAATTTTTCATAGAAAATAAGATTTTCAGATGATGATATATAGATTCTTAAAGCGAAGGAGTACCTAATGCATACGCATATCTAAAGTGATTACTATTTCGTTTGGATAAAAATAGATTTATGACTGAGGTAATGAGGATTGCCTTGTCTAAACTTCTTTTTCAAAGTGATTTAGAGACTAACATATGTTGCTTACCACCTCTTAATCTTGCCCTATGCTATGCCCCTCTCTTTCTTTCTCTCTCTCTCTCTCTCATAAGTGTTGTATTGGTGTGTGGGCGGCATTCGTGAATGCTTTCTGGCTCCCTCTCTAAGTGGGTGATTACATTTATACGAGTGATGTTATTCTTTACTATAGTTATTGAATATTTTGTTAATAAATGTTTAATCTTAGTTATAATTAACTACCATACGTTTAAGCAAAATACGGGTATCAAGTGTCCAAGAATTGCAAAAATACTCCATAAGATAGAGCACCCTCACAAAACCTCGTGACACTAGAAAAAAGCACATAAGATTTAGTTTTTGTTATTATCATTAGAATCTCAAAATGGTTAAAAAGGTATTAAAAAGTAAACTTTATAAAATTTGGGGGCACTATGTTTGCAATAACGATGTAATCCTCAAAATGAGAGAAAATTATTTCTGTGTTTAATCAATAATATTTACTTTTTAGATCAAATATAAAATACTAGTCAATCATAGAGAAGTTAGGGATGACTCAAATAGACGCTAAGATGAGGGAAAAAAGACTTAAGTGGGTTGGACATGTACAATGTAAACTAATACATCACATGTTGGGAGGGACAATTTGGTTCAAGTAGAAAACTCTAAAAAGATAAAAAGAAGGCTTAAACAGATATGGATGGTGAAATAATGAGAAGAGATGTTGTGACTTATGGTATGACCGAGGGTATAAATCCTTCATAAAGCAGAATCAAATAATATGATTCATGTAGCCACCCTCAACTAGTTGGTATAATGCTTAGATGTTGATGATGAATAATCAACCATAGAGTTTTCTTTTCCAATTAATTTTTTAACAAAAATATTTAACTATAAAAATATCAATTAAATTGGTTATGTTAGGGTCTTTTGAAGTAGTCGAAAAAGATATAGAGACTTATGATCTCACTGAGGATATGTCTTTTAATATAGGAAAATAGAGAATCAAGATTCATATAACTGATCCCAATTAATTAGAAAAAAGTTAAACCGATGATAATGTTAAAATGTTCACACTATAAAACATTTTATATTTATACTCAACAAATTTTTGATATTTATTTAGTAAGTTAAACCGTAACTCTCACTCTGCGGTATCCTCATAAGTACCCTACCCTACCCTAAAATCTCTTCGTCCAGTCCACTCCATTTGCCCTAGCCAAACTTGTACTGTATAGATGCCTCCAATCACTTGTCTGACTTTATCCTTAGCATGAAAGTTTTTACCCGTAAACAACGTTACACATGGAAAAATAATATCGGTTTTCAATTGACTTGCTCAAGTCTCACACGCAACTTCTTAGTGCGGTGCAGTTTATCTCTACCTTAAAAGTCACAAATTCAGGGGGCAGAGATTTTACATGCCTGAATTCCATTCGCTTTTCTTTTATCACCTGGCTAAGAGACAAGTTTGGTGCAAAAAATGAAAGACTCAGAGACAAATCTTGGTCTTCTACCAAATATTATCTCTGACACCCACTTGAAAAAATAAGATAAAATAAACTTTCCACTCTTCTCAATGGAAAAGACAGCCACTATTTCAAAAAATGTGGCCCAACAAACAGGCCCTTGGTCTTAACCTTTGTTCATAAAAGAGAGTATTTAAAAAGAATTCCTCTTTCAAGCTTGTAATTGCTTGCTTAGGAGCATGGATCATTGCACCCGTTCCTTGCACTGCATTGGCCTGTTTAGACCATAGTTATCGGGAGCGCCCAATTAGGGTGGTGCTTCCGCTCTGGCGCTCCGAGATCCTGTTTTCAAATTTTTGGGAGCTTGTTTCTATTTTTAGGATTCACAATTCCATTCTCAACGGAGCTCGTTCCAGCTACTACACAGATCTCACTCCCACTATCCCACGGAATATGTTCCCGAACAAATTAGATCCCCATTCCCAAAATTTTAGGATCGCGATTCCTACGTTCCCGAAACTCCATCCTTAGGGAGGATCCAACCATAAACAAAAACATAACTACCCACCATTAAAATAATAGGGCAGCGAATGAGCATGGGAACAAGATCCTATTTTACATGGAATGCACTCCCGTTAAATAAGGACCTTGATCCCAATGTATCACGAACGTGCTCCCTGTTCATACAGGATCTCGATCCGCAACTTTTACCCTCACCGGAACTCGCTTCCCTAGCTCCGAAGCTTTAAGCAACCCTTGATCCGATGGTAACTATATTTTGGATAGACCGCTCCACCCATGAATATGCAGTTTCTCTAATAACATTGTCACTAAAAACTCCGTGATGATACCTTTGGTATACTCTACCCTACTCATGAGTAAGCCCCGGTTTTGGACCCCTTTTACTTGAAAAATGCTAAAAAAACACTACAATTTCCAAGTTGTTCTACCCATATATTTTAAAAACCAGCCATTTCCCATCCGGATCACTGATTCGCTGGGAGTTAGTCGAGATTCGAAATTGAATCGGTTCCAAAATGGTATAAGTTCCAAAGTGGTTCCCATGAAACCCCTACTTATGTCACCCTCTAAAACCCCCACCTATGTTTTTTTTTTTTTTTAAAGCTTATTTAATGTTATCAATTCCCCTCCCTATTAATTCTTATTTATCCTAAAATTTTGAATCAAATTCTATTTTTGAGATGATTTTAGAGGGAGACCACACAACAATAGGTGAGGCAACCAATTCACCGGCCTTAAATAATTATTTTAAAATGTAAAAAAATTAAAAATTAAAAATCAAAAATTAAAATAAAAATAAAAATAGGTGGGAGCCCTGCGATTTGGTGGATCGTGATCACCTATTCACAGACTTGTCCCATTCTATGACAAGTCTATAGAATTGGATAGATTCCCTATTCCGACTTAGAAGGGGACCCCTTGAATTTGGGGCATCTCGACCAAGTTGGCTGGTACGATATCGCAAATACCAACACTAGAACGAATAAAACCAACCGTAAAGGTTGCCTGATTAACAATCCTGTGATTCATTCAAATATCTATGTTCGTGGATGTGTTCTTTTCTATTTCTATACTATGGTTTTTTTTTTTTTTTGTGCATGTTTCGTCATTGAAAGCGGAATGCATTGCTACAGTTCTCCATCACAAGTAAAGTGGGCAAGAGATATATTCCTCCAAAGATATATTCCTCCAAAATACAGCTTTCTAATTGAAATTTTTGAGAGATATTATGTTTGAGGAAGAATTAGTGTGAAATTTACTAAGTTGCTCACTCGAAACAAAATAAAAGAGTCAAATATAACACAATTTTGTCTATAATAAATGGCAATCTCCTAATAAAAGAAGGGTTATCTCATATAAATAAAACCAGCTTTCGAAGTGTAGGTTTGACCCGTAAATAAGTGTCGGTTTGACCCGTAAATAAGAGTGGTTGGATTATATTCTTATTTATTCAAATCCCTTTGACCGGTAAATAAGAGTGGTTGGATTAATTTATTATTTATTCTAATCCCTAAATCAATGAGGAGATTTTATGGGGGTATATTTTACAGTATTAATCTCTGATCTGACGGCTGCATAAGACTTAAAATTGTATTTCTTTTGAATCATTTGTCTCCATGATAAATAAAATAGGAAAAATTACAAAAGCCCCTCTTGACTCAAATTTCTCTACAACCTGCCCCAATCAATTTTTTTTATAACAAGTTTTATCCCAAAACTAACTTTTATAGCAAATACCCTCAAGTCGAAAAGTAATAGTTTAGATGACAAAAATACCCTACTTCATACAAGGTGTCACATTTCTGTAGACGCTCAATCACTAAAGACGATCCGGCACATATTACCGCCAACCGCAACACATACCACATTAACTGTTGGACCACAACAACAATTTGCTGGACTGCATGCAACTTATGTCGGACCGAGGTATCATAGATCCCGACCGACAAAATATACCACCGGACTATATGGCAAATATACCGGACCGTATGGAACACAATGCCGTACGATATGGCATATGTTGCCGGACCGCATTTACAAGTGCTGGACCGACAACATTCAACGACCAAGGGGAGGGCATTTTGGTCTAAAGAACCATGACTCTGTTACTTGGGGGTATTTGCTATAAAATTTTATTTTGGGGTAAAAGTTGTAATAATACAATTGGTTGGGGAGAAGTTGTCTAGAAAGTCCAATTTAGATAAAGTATGTGTTATTTTCCCAATAAAATAAAAATATTTTTCTTTTCAAACACAACAAGTGGAAAAAACTAAGACAAAACGGAAAACATAAAATTGGGGAGATTCATAAAGCTAAAACCCAATAATGGCAAAGAAGATGCCTTACCCCTGGCTTCAAGTGAAAGTTTCCTTCGTAATAAAACCTCTATATAAACCCCTCACCATCATTCCATCAAACCAAGGTACCCAGTAGTAGTATTGCTATTACAATTATAATTTTAAGATCCTTTCCTGTAGTAGGTGCCTACTGTCTCCTTGTAAAATCTATGTTGTTTCATGGAGACTCAAAGGCCTCATGTTGCGATTTTCCCTAGCCCTGGCCTTGGTCATCTTATTCCCTTAGCTGCCTTTGCCCAACAACTAGCAACAATTCATGGCTTTTCAGTCACCTTTATTAATGTGTCAACTGGTTCCTCCCCAATGCAAGATTCAATCCTTGCAGGACTCGAGCAAACTTGCAAGGGTTTTGTGAAGTCGGTCGAGCTCCCGATGATGGACATGTCTGATATCCCTCCTGACACTGGGAAGGTTGTGCAAATATCGTTGACCATTAGGAGGTCTCTTGGTTCCCTTCGAGGGCTCCTTGGAGATCTCTTTAGTGGTTTACCTACGGCCACAGGTCGTTTTCCTGCAATCTCTGGCCTCATAGCAGACCCCTTTTGCGCCGATGTTATAGAGCTTACACATGAACTACAATTGCCTACATATCTTTTTTTCACATCAACTGCTACCTTGCTCTCTCTCATGTTGCACCTCCCAACTCTAGATCAAGAGATTTCTGGCGAGTATCGTGATCTTGATTTTCCTGTACAAGTCCCGGGTTGCTTTCCAATACCTGGAAAAGACTTGCCTGAGCAACTACAGGATCGAGAGGACGAGGAGTATGCATGGTTCTTACGCCATGCTAGAAAGTATATTGAAGCAAAATCCATACTTATCAATACCTTTCAAGCCCTAGAGCCTCATCCAATAAAAACCTTGAGAGACAAGAGGCATGGGGGGCGATCTCCGTTCCCAAGATAGTTCCGGTGGGTCCCTTGACTCTTGACTTGCCAGACAACCCAGGAGAAGAATGCTTGAAATGGCTTGATGAGCAACCCCTCAATTCAGTTTTATTCGTATGTTTTGGTAGTGGGGGAACCTTTACACATGAGCAAATGAATGAAATGGCCATGGGGTTGGAGGCAAGTGAGCAGAGGTTCCTTTGGGTGATTAGAAAACCTCACCAAACCTCAAGCTCTGCCTCATTCTTCTCCTCTACTTCCAATGGTGAAGACCCTCTTGCCTTTCTACCATTAGGGTTTGTTTCAAGGATCCAAGGACGTGGACTCGTTATTCCCGATTGGGCTCCACAAGGAAGGATATTGGCCCATAGTTCCATAGGTGGATTCATGTCACACTGTGGGTGGAATTCAACCCTTGAGAGTGTCAAAAATGGTGTGCCTATGATAGCATGGCCACTCTATGCTGAGCAAAGAATGAATGCCCTAATGTTGGCTAATGAGATTAAGGTTGCTCTAAGGCCCAAGATGGAAGATGATGGGATTGTTTATAAACATGAGATAGAGAGGGCGGTGAGATGTTTGATGGAAGAGGAAGAAGGAAAACTTTTGAGGGAGAAGATGGGAGAGCTTAAGACTGCTACAGATTCAGCCTTGGCTAAGGGTGGGACTTCTTATGAATCAGTGAATGATGTTGCTGAAGAATGGAGGTTTGGCTCCCCAATATGGAAGGACATGAAAAAGGTTTCATTTGTAGTTGGAAACCGATGATGATTTGCATGCTTTAAAACTTAAAAGACACAGTCGTGTAGTTTTATAATTTGTCCAGTGAGTTTAACATTTTTCTTCTCTAGTTTTAGCATTGACCAGTGGATTAGAATGCTTTGTCTTCCTTTTTCTATCTCCCTTTATGTTTTTTCCTATGCCGCCCTGTGTCGGTTTTGTCACAGCAAACCAAGCAGAATTATCAGCATTGCTACAAGGGGTGTCTATATGGAGAGAGAGAGATTTGGGGAATAGATTGTTTGTGGCGAGGGATTCATGGAATGTGATCAATTGGTGCGATCGATCTTCTAGACCTCCTTGGAATTTAAGATCTTTGTGGTTACAGGTTTTGGATAAAACTCTCGGCTGCGTGGCGAGTATTAACCATGTTTATAGGGAGGCTGATGTGGTGGCAGATGATTTATCCAAGAAGGGTGCTTCTTTAGATAACTCGTTTATTTCTCCAGTGTTGTTTTGATGTATAATTATTGCAATTACCCTTTGATCCAATAAATCTAAGTACTTGTCAAAAACAAAACATCTTGGTAATGAATTATTTTGCTCAAATGAGATATCAAAGTAAACATTTACAAGAATTTTGTACAAATGCTTTTGTGGAACCAACCATACTTGCTTGATCCTCTATAACAAAAACAATGACAAAATACATAAGTTCAACTTCCAAAGGGGTCAGAGGAACCAAACCAAGGGCTGAAAATTACTGCACTAAGAGGACATCATGGTATGGTTGACAATAGACCAAGGTTGGGCTGACCTTAGCCTTGGCCCAGCCAAGAAGCCTAACATCTTGACCCCACCCTGTGGGGAGCTAAACGACCCAGGTTCTAACATGCCCCTTTGGTAGGGTTAGGTTAGGCCTGGCCTTTGGAATTTTCTCTTATATGTGACCGAGCATGAATTGTCTGTCCAGGGCTCAGGCCAATAAGAATCTGGGCAGGAAACATCTATCCCAGGCCCCGGCCCTTGGGTCACATATAATGGCTCATGATGGGCATTAGTGATCCGGGCCGCTCGGCATTTGGCTACCCTAATCATAGGTGACATACAGCTTGGACACAAAATGGTACATTCACATTGGACAAGTAGTAGAACAGCTCATGAGCTTGTGGAATTATTCTTTTGAACAGCTCATGAGCTTGTGGAATTATTCTTTTAAACAGCTCATGAGCTTGTGGAATTATTCTTTTGAGATTGTCAGTTGTTTTTCTACAACAAGATTTTCTTAAGTTTATGATGAAATAAAGGATTTTTTGGGCATTGTTATTTACACCAATTTTTGCTGTGGAATATTGGCTATTCCACCCCAAACATGGGTGGGATTATGAATTGGATTATATGCATGTATAATTTATATACATTAATATGTCTATTTCGACTCAAAATATTTAAATGGCATGGTGAATGGCGTGAGTGCTTATTTGCGATCGTGGTGAGGGTTCCAACAACCCCACAAACACTGCTCTCTTTTTTTAAAGGGTGGGGTTTGTATAGAGCCGAGGCTCTAAACAATCAAATTGGAGCCTATTTTTAAATATATCAAGAAAAGTAGTTTCAATAGTGGAAATATTTATGATAGCTTTAAAATATATTTTTATATTTAATTATAAAATTTAAAGCTTT